CAAACCTGTTAGATGTCTGATAGTCTGAGTTCGTGTTCTCTAAAATCAAAGAATAAATTCTAGGGACAACAGAGGTTAAGAGTAGGAAATATTAATTGAGAGATAGAAAGCTCCTGCTTGAGGGAGTATGTAGGTCTGTCCCTTTTGTTGTTATCGGCAGGCCTGGACTCCAGCCCAACTGATGCCTCTCTGGCCACAGCTGTAGTGTATTTTCACCTTTTGTCCTGACTCTCTCAAGGGCCCAGCCCTACCTGACTGTCTATTATGGTCCTACCTAACTTAGCTGTCTATGATACTGGAAACTCAAAGTATCTGCTACTAGCTTTGTACAGAAGGCCAGCCCTTTATCCTAGAACCACTTCAGGGGCCAAGGAGATAATGTCCTGTGATTTACTTGGAATCACAGCCAGAGATGTTTGGAACAGGCAAGGAAAATGGAGTCCATGTAACTCAGTTCCCTCACAGGACTTCCCATAAGTCAGACAAGTCCCAGCCTCCCTGAAGAGAGACGTTCCTGGTAAGGGACCAGTGTTCCTGCTGTGAACGTACTCGGTGAAGGGGAAGGGCTCCATGACCACTGGTTATGAGTCATCTGGTGCCTTGGTTTCTAGGATTTGAAGAAACAACATTTTAAATTTTTTAAAAATTTTTTTTTTAACCACAGGGTCTTGCTCTGTAGTCTAGGCTGGCCTTGAACTCACTATGTAGCCCAGGCTGGCCTCAAATTTGAGGCAATCCTCTTGCCTCAGCCTCTCAGTGCTGGGATTACAGGCCTATACCACCACACCTAGTGAAAACAACATGTTAATCCTCGGACCAGAGAGAGAGAGAGTATACAGAGGGGAACAGAACAGAATCAACAGTGTGGAAGGGAATGCTGGACAGGTGAGGAAAGGTCCCAGGACTTAGGAGGACGTCTTGGCCACGCTCTGTCCTGTGGTAAGGAATGAGCAAAGCTTCTGGGAGAGTTGAAGTGGTAAAAGGCAATCTAGGCAGGAAGGTTCCCACCTTGAGGGTAGCTGCAGGCTTAGCATGACAATGAGAGTATACTGGAGGCTCAAAATAACACTGGGGTAGAGTCACAAAATGTTAGTCAAGCAAGCTGGGGTTAGGGATGAGCCCAGCTCTCCTCACCCTTGTTCTAGACCAGAAGGAATCTGCCTCTGGGGAATTCAGTCTGCCTGGTGCTTTGGATAGGCCCACCCCTGACAGGTATTCACAGCTCTTTTCAGAGTGCCAGTCTTCCCAGTGTCAGCCAGCTCAGGAGGGCCCAGGGAGATTTTTGCAGGTAGGTCCCAAGGTTAAAGGACACATGTGTGCAAGACATCAGCAACAACAGCA